TTTGACGCATTTCCACGTCGAAAAATTACTTATATTTTCTCCAAAAAATGACAATCAACAAAATAGGTCGAAACATATATCATTAGACTCAGTTTTCGACTCTGACTTCGAATATGATATTTTTATTGCATAAAAAGTGAGTTCTGGTGGAAAAAATAGAGAATTACGCGAAGAATTTCTATTTTTCTGGTTGTGATTGAGAATAAATGTATTTTCTTGGGAATAAAAGCGATCCATACCTTTTTTCCCACTGGTATGATGATTTGAATGGAGATAAGAAAAAAAAATTATCTGTTAATCAAGATAGGTTTTCAAGATGAACCGAGTTCTTTTCCGGCTCTATTCGCGTTTCTCGAAATCTGACTCCATTTTAAACACGGAGCACGTCAAATTTGGTTTTCTATAGTCACTTTTGCATACCGAATCAGAAAAAAATTAGATTCAAAATCATAAAGCAAGAATAAATATGAAAATTTTGCTTATTTCTTAGAATTCATATTTTTTCCTCTTTTTAAAAATCAATATATTGAAAAATTTTCATCCAAAAATGACTTCAAAAAGTCTAAAATGGACTTCTTTCTGTGTAACTCGATGAGCTCTATCCAACCATAGCCGAGAAAGCGAAAAATATTCTGCTTCATTTTTGCATTATTGGCACCTTAGATTTATATAGCCACTAGACATGTTATTAGCATGAGAAGTCCAATAGGATTTTTCAAAACCACTGTGTCTACGATTCCATCCAATGCGGTACATCAAGACAAAGCGGGAGTTGGAGTTTGATTTTCTCACAGACAGATAGCAGCAAAGTGTTTTTACTACAAAGTAACATCACTTTTCTATCGTGAGCTATTTGCCAACTAACCGTGTACATTCTATTTTGAAGTGGATGTTAAATATTAGACAGTGGTAGGTAGATGATAGACGATAACCTAACAATCTCTAGTATATCGCTATTGCAAACAAAATTTAATTATTTCAGCATTAGAATTGTTCGAAAAAATAACGCACAAAATTAATCAATGAGAATTATTTTCATTTGATTTGAAATGTTGTGTTACATTTTGTCATTGTCAATGTGACGGTATATGTAAATATGCTCGAATTGATAATTTTAACGTAGGCATTTTTTTTAAGAATTATTTTTAAAAAATTATTTAAAAATAATTAAAAAATTGTAAATATTAGCTAAACATTGTTGATAGCGTCTACTTTAAACTAAATCAATTAATTTTCTTTTATCTGTTTGATAAAAAAGTTTGTAGAGATAATATGAACAGTTCTAATTGATCACAGTGACAGTTAAACTATGTAATCATTGAATTATCAAACTAGATTGCAATTTTTTTTATTTTCATATAGATTGATTATGATGTCCTGTGTGAATGAATAAAAGAAGATGTACGCTAATTAGTATAAAAAAAAATTAATGAGTTGTTGTTGTTGTTATTATTATTCTTCCGAAAAAAATTAATATTTCAATGGCAAAGTTTTATGAAATATGAAGACATCAAGAATCTCTTAGAAGAATAAAGAATAAAGAAAAAAGAAAAGAAAAAAGATGAAAACGTGAAGAGAAGAAACGAAAGAAAAAATAGATAGTTACAATTTTTCAATTTCTCGCTTCGTGTTTGCCTAATCATTAGCGAGTCTATATGCGTGTCTCATTGTACAAATTATTTTTAATTATGATATGTCATGAAGATAGAGAAAGTGAGAGAAAGAGAGGGAGAGAGAGAGGGGGAGAGAGAGAGAGAGAGAGAGAGAGCAAGAGACAGACGGGATAACAGATTTTCATATTCTACAATAGTTACCAAAAAAAGGAAGAACCATAAAATTGAGAAAACAAATATAACAAAATTTTTGCAGTACAACTTCCGAATTTTTTCATATATATATAACTATAATCCAACTGTGTAGCCATTTCACGGGGAGAAATTTTCAGAAACTATGTTTTAATGGTATATTCCTGTATTAACAACACGTCTCTTTACTTTCTAACTATTCAATTGATCTAACTTCTTTTATAACTCATTGATAAAATGTTTTATTTTACTTGATGACAATAAATTACTAATAGAACTATTAAAAGTTAGTGCACAACATGACAAATTTTTCTATAATTATAAAATTACATAATGTATATAATAAATAAATATTTTAAAAAAAATACAAACAATTAACAATATGTAAAAAGAGAATTTTCATATTATAATCTTTTACATGTAGATAAGAATATTAGAATTTTTCGAATTAAATAATAAAATATAAATTCAATTAGAAAACAATATGATATTCATAGTCTAAAAAGTAAAACTAAATAGAATAATTGTAAAAAAAGAAATGAATTGTATTTTAGTGTTATATGCATGAATGTAGGTCTATCTATGCATTACTATTCACTAATATAATATTATATGTTATTATTCATTTTTAAAGATATTACAAAATAAATAAATAATAGAATATTTTGTTCTCTTAATTAATATTTGTGATTAATTAGAAGATTATGTCATCTATTTTTAAAAGTAGACTTTAATCATACGCTTTTTTCTATCCTCTAATATATTAGAAAACAAAATTGACCAGAAAAATCAATTAAATTTAATTATTAAGTCGAACAAGTTAAGAAAAACTCATTTTTTTAATAGAATTTTTATGTGAATAATTTTTTTTTTTTTTATGATTGACTGATTTATGTCAAAAGGGTGATGACAATTTTAAAATTATTTTTTTTAAGTAAAATTACTCATTTCATCTAAAAAATTACAAGAGTAAGTAATTCACATATATCCTAGAGCACGCATGACTTCTAATCAAAGATAGAGGATTTTGACTAATCTCGTGTGACAAGGTAGGATGAAAAAATTATTGAAAGTTTTTTTAATCTATTTTTATCATATTTTTAATAATAAAAAAAACAAGTGTTTGTTTCATTATCTCAAAAAAAAAAAAAAAAATTCTATATTCATTTGTTTAAGTGCAAATACTTTTTCTATAACTAAAGACGAGAAAATAAATTGTGTATTCAAATATGAAAGAGGATTATCAATCATGGGAAAAAAAATTATACAGATTTATATGTTATTGAGCATGTTGTTTAAAATATTTTTTTAATTTTTTTTACAAAATTTGGAAAGTGTCATTATGCAAACACACACACACACACACACATTCTTAACGAAAATCAAATATGTTACTAGATTTAGAAATAACTGAAATCTTCAATATTGAAATATTTCAAGATCTACGTTTATGATACGACTACTTAAGTTATATGTGTGAGTAGATTTTTTTTAAATTAGTTTTTTCTATTTAGTTTATTAAAACAAAAAAATTGAAATATCTTCTTCAGTTCATTATAATGCGTGTTAATATATCACCGTTTATATCTACTATCTAGAATACATTTATTTCAGTTAAAAGAGTTGAAAAGAAAAACTTCACAATAATAATCAATAGTGTATTATAAAAGAATGTTATCAAGAAATAAATCTATCGGATGGTCGAGATATAATGGCTGTTAGTTTATTTTTTTTTGTTTTCTGTTCTTCTCCATACAGTTTCAACCTTTTTTGAATTTTTTTTGTTTTATTAAAATGTGTCGCGAAATACTCTACAGAATCATATCTAAACTTTAATTTCAGACTTTCAGTCAAGAAAACTACGCAAATTAGACGAAAGGCAAAAAAAAACTGACAACTTTCTAAAATCAACAGCGATTTTCTGTATTAATGATTTGAAAGTAAGAAAAATTGAATTAAGAAAATAAATACTAAGAAATAAATAATTTTTCTATCGGTTATCACCCATTTTTTCATTAATTTTTTAAATTCTGCGTATGGTGGTCATTTCAGTAAGAGTTCGATAACTCCATCAAAACAAAAGATTTTTTTGATCGAATTTGTTGGTTTTTTAACAGACATGATTGCTCTTCTTCACCTAACTGCAAAATCGAAATTTCGATCATATTTTCCGTTTCTTGCTTGAGCACATTGTTGGACACGAGAGATTGTCATTTTTTGAAACTTCATTCTCGAGTACATCGTCTGCTATAAAAAAAATTTGTTTACTGATCACGAAAAGGAGCATATTTGAAAGTACAAAACAAATTGAGTTCTCACTACACTTTTTTACAGAAATAATAGCAGAAAAAAGTCCGAAATCCGAAAATGTATCAACTTTATAAATTTTTCATGATTTTTTCACCTTTCATCTAATTTGCGTAGTTTTCTTGATTGAAGTTTAGGTATAGTTCTGTAAAATATTTCACGACACATCTTTTAGTAAAAAAAATTGCAAAAAGGTTGAAGCTGTATGAAAAAGAACAGAAAACAAAAAAAACAACCATTATACTGGGACCACCCGATAGCATGATATTAGTGAAATATTAAACAAAAAAAAAACAATCGGAAGTCACTTAGCTATTAAGAAATTCTCAATTTTATATGACTCTTGATAATATTTTATATCATACAGACAAGACGTGCGAAACTATTGAGATTTGTGTAATTAGTTGACATAAATTGAGTCGTATTTACATCTGTCGAATGTGGATGAGTTTGAAGTAGAATATGATTTATTATATATAACAAACTCGATAAGATCTGTTGAAGTGAACCTGAAACAATTGAAGCACACAATTAAGTAACTATGATTTTTTTTTTTGTTTTTTTGCTACCACACAGACATAAAATATTATGAAAAAAGAGATAGCCAGAGGACATGTAAATAGTTGAATAAGAAAAAAAAAAATACTTACATATACTCAATAAACAATAATAATTTGATAAATTGTATACTCATAACAAAACAAAAAAATAAAATAAAATATAATACGAAAAATCTGCTGTGAAATTTACATTTTAAGAGTTAAAGGATAGTTCTCTTCTTTTTTTTTTTTCTCTTTTATACAGAGTGAATAAAAGTTTTCTATAGATAATATTACATTTCATTATTATTCTTACTTTTTATTAATTTTAGAATAACATTTAATTAAAATGAATTTAACACTTGATCATATTCCTGATTATTATCAAGAAAAAGCTCATGATCGTGCCAATTTTTATCATTGGTATGCTGATCGTATTATTTATCGTGTATTTGGTCCATTTATTGCCGTTATTGGTCTTATCGGTAGTACAATGTCATGTTTAGTATTTTATCGTAAAACATTACGTAAAAAATCTTGTTCAATTTATTTTTTTGTATTAGCACTCGCTGATCTACTTTGTTTACTTTGTATACAAGTCCATTTTGTATTACCAGCATATAATTATAATGTACTTATTAAATCAAATTTTTTTTGTAAAGTATTTGTATTTGGAATTTATTTTTCATTTGATTTGGCTAATTATTTATTAACTGTATGTTCAATTGATCGAGCACTTATCGTATTATGTCCAATGAAATGTCGAAAATTTTGTTCACCACAAATTGCATATATTATAACTACTGTATTAATTATTGTCTTAGCATTACTTAATATACATTTTCTATACGGTTTTGTTGTTTATGATGTTCATCATCCAACAGTAGATTATACCACTAATACAACGAGTATACTTGTCCGTCATTGTCATTGTCGTCAGGACGTTAAATTGTATGAAAAATTTTTTTATTTTTATGATTCTTATTTCGATGTTATTAAATCAAATTTGATTCCATTTATGATTATGATTGTATGTAATTTTATTATTATTATTCGTGTACTTAAATCGTCACGTCTTAGACATTCAAATAGACGTGTTAATGGTATAATGAGTCGAAAATCAAAACGTAAACATGAAAAAGATCGACAATTAACACTTATGTTAGTGGGTAGTGCAATGGCATTTCTATTTCTTACATTACCAACAGAAATTAATGATATAATTCAATCACACGGCAATAAACAACAAGCAAAACAACTTTTAAATATTAAAAGAAATTATTTTATTACAGCACATTTAGCAACGTTATCTCATCTTAATTATGCTATCCATTTTTACATCTATACTCTTACGGGAGAAGTATTTAGACAACAATTAATAAAATTATGGCCAATTAATATATGTTGGCCATATTTAATGCAGATTATACAAAAATCAGGAACAACGAAAACAACGACATTATCTGTGAAAGGTGTTAATAACTGTAGAGAAACAAGAATGGATACGATAAATGATGAATTTACTCTTTGAATCCATCTCTACTATTTATATGGAAGTATAAGCCATTCTAAATGAATCAAGAGTTAGTACAAGTTTATTTTCTTTTGCAACTCAAACTCCATTCGACAATGGAAATATTTTTTTAAAAGTAAAAAGGATGCATAGATCAAAAAAAGGAGAAGAGGAGTTCAACATTTAAGAATAGATAAGAAATATTTTCTTAAAATGTCTCTAGACTTGTTTTCGTATTTTTGTGAAATGTATCACAATTTATATTATTTACAAATTATATGGCATTACGTTCAATTCCACCTTTGATAAAACATTCTAAAAGTTTTTCAATTTTTATTTGATGATATTTCCTAGTTCTTAATAGATAGATATAAGCGAAAACAGGATCAATTCGCTTTTTCCACTTTTTTCAAGATAATATTTTTTGGTCAAATGTTTATAGAAAATGAATTAATGAAAGTGTACCTTGTTGTTTTTCGAAATGCAATTAAGAAATTCACATAATATCTGTTGAGGACAAAGTATTTAGCAGATAGCCAATAAAATATTTCAGTAGTGTCTGAGAGGTTGAAATACAAATTTTTAAATTTATTTTTCAAAAAATTCTCTCGGAAATCTGTCATACTTGTTGTAAATTATATTTGTTTGTTCTAAAATAATTAATGATCGTTCGAACGTATATGCTTGCATGTTCGTTCTTTCTTACATGCACGATTTACATGCACACATTTATCATGAGATCTAATGAGACATATCAGCTTTCTCAGAAAATATATAACCCACGCAATTAAGTTTATATCACTTAGTTTATGGTTTTAGTCATTACTTTTTAACTGTAAAAAGAATCAAACAACGAAAAAACGATTTATATGCACGAAGGAACATTAACCATCCTCGTGTATTTTTCGTATGTTATACACGTAAACTAACTTATTTGTGTTTGTATTAATTAATTAATGAAATTTCTTAAAGGAGTTGGAAAGGATATAATACCAGAAGAAGGTTATGCACTGAAATCACGAGCATAAGTAATACCAAATCAATCAATTAGAAAAATAAGAGACTATTATCTCATTAGTTGAACTTTTTTGGATAGCTTATCTTTAAAACCCAGCAAATTTATTTAATGGTAGCAGTAACATTATAAACGATTCAGTGAACGTTTTGTAATCACCTATTCAATTTCAAAAATAGAAGTGAATCAGTATGAGTGATTAGAAACCAAATTTTTCTATAACAATAAAGATCAAACAATCTTCAATATTTTGTAAGGGTTCTTCAAACTCATTCCTGTAATTTCCTTCCTTTCTATCACTCTCATTCTCTCATGATGAAATTTATTCAATGATATATAACACACACTTGAAAATTATGTGAGAATTTTTTGGCAAATACGTTCTCAATAAATTAATTTCGTTAGTTGTACGTGCATATATATTAAGGGTCATTTGTGCTGAAGTATCTCAAAGGAAGAACTAGAAAATAAATTCTTTTGTTTATATTGCTGTTGGAGCACAGTTTCAATTAACTCAATTTAAACGGGAACTTCCTCATTTGTATTCTCAAGCAGCTTCATTTCTCACCGTATTCTACCTTGTTAGAGAGCACATTTGAAATGATACATTAGGAATATGCTGTGTTGATCGATACTCCTGTACATGGTTTCTAAGACGGC